TGCGTGTGTGTGTGTGTGTGTGTGTGTGTGTGTGTGTGTGTGTGTGCTATTGCTCTTCTGCGCCGTGTCTCAGAGCCCCTGAGGAACATCTGAATAATGTTCTTTTATTTGTTGGACGTGTTGTTCCTCCAGAGAGATCAGAGCTGATCAGACTGATGAGATGAGAGTGAGAGCCACACTGACTGCTAACACAACACATGCTGATGACTTTACACACCTGTCCGCACACACCTGTCTGTGCTGATCACACTGAGCAACACCACTCATCCAGTGCATCTGCTGTTGTCTCTCACATCAAAATCCAGCCACATATTTATTTAGAGCTGTTTAAACGCTGCTTTATCTGTGCAGATTTCTCTCCTGATTCACACCAGAACACTGACTCACTGGAGGAAGAGTTATTATGGATTATGGACTCTATGGTATTGAAGTTAAAAGCGTCTTAATGCTGGATTAGTTTCAGCTTTTGTCTTCTCCAGATGTTAACTGATGGACTGGAGTGCTGTGGATTATTGTGATGTTTTTATCAGCTGTTTGGACTCTCATTCTGACGGCACCCATTCACTGCATAGCAACCATTGCTGAGACACTGATGCAGTGCTACATTTCTCCAAACCTGATGAAGAAACAAACTCATCCTGATCTGGGATGATCCTAAGACCGAGGGTGAACACATTTTCAGTTTAGCTGAACTATTTCTTGAAAAAGCCATCTTATTTCCCACTGAAAAGTGCATAGCAGTACTTCTGTAAGATATTAATATGCACTATATGTGTTGACCTTCTAAGACTACTACCCCTGTTGCTCCACCAAAACTAATCATTTTTGCAAATTTGTTTCTGACAGCATTATCTAAATGTAAATGTATATAAAAATGTATATTTAATGTTGACAAAGTAAGAAAGTCACACAGATAAAGTGTTTAGTGCATGTGTTACTGCAAGACAAATTTACCTGCGAGTATGAATAAGTTGCCTAACCTAAACAGCATGTGAAATTAGCATGTGAACAGAGCAGCAAAAAATGAAATATTGATTGAATATGTTTATGATATGTGTTAAATATTATTAAATAGTATTAATTAGTAATAAAAATTGTAACAATAATTTTGTAAAATGTTGAAGCATGTAAAATATAAAAGAGTGCAATCTCCTGAGGTAAATTGTTATTGCAACACACACACACACACACACATTTGACTGCAGCTACTGAAGAGCATCTGAGTGAATGATAGACAGCGAACAGACGTCAGAGAGAGAGAGAGAGAGAGAGAGAGAGAGAGACTCTGTGAAGGAATGAGAGAGGGGGGTACAGGGTCCAGAGCGAATGAATGAAAGCAGAAATCATCAGAAACAAACACAATCAAACTGAGTGAGTGTGTGTTTCAGTGGGGGGACTGTTTGACGTCAATACCTGACACACACACACACACTCACAGGCTAATGAGTGGCAGCGGGCGAGCATATGAGTGAATGATAGACAGCGAGCAGACGTCAGAGAGAGAGAGAGAGAGAGAGAGAGAGAGAGACTCTGTGAAGGAATGAGAGAGGGGGGTACAGGGTCCAGAGCGAATGAATGAAAGCAGAAATCATCAGAAACAAACACAATCAAACTGAGTGAGTGTGTGTTTCAGTGGGGGGACTGTTTGACGTCAATACCTGACACACACACACACACTCACAGGCTAATGAGTGGCAGCGGGCTGTTGTTGCCTGTGGTTACAGATGTTATAGAATAACTGGACAGGTGTGCGTGTGTGTGTGTGTGTGTGTGTGTGTGTGTGTGTGTGTGTGGGAAAACGAGAGCAAATGAATGCTTACAGCATCAATTAAATTCTCAAAGTGCTCAAGGTGAAACTCCCTCACACACACTCACTCCTTTATTCTCCTTTCATCCGCTCTTTTCTTCTCCTCTCACTTTAAGCAGGCTTCCGGATGTGAGCGATCCCTGACCAAATATGGACATCCTGCTGTCTGTCTCTCTCTCTCTCTGTCTCTCTGTCTCTCTCTCTCTCAGGACATTCATCATTCCTGCAGCTTTATTGAATGTTCTCAGTGAGTTTGTTCAGACCTCAGACTCTGAGTGCCACACACTGACGAACACTGACTAGCGTACAGTTACCTTACTACAGTGAAAGCACAGTAAATGATCTAAACTAGCATACAGTTACAGAAGGTGATCACATGAAGTGTTTTTAAAGACGTAGGAATCTTCATAGCTTCGTTTTCACATGCCAGAGGTGAAGAGACTGCAGTGTACTGTATTATGAACAGTTACTGTAGTAAATCACAGCATGCAGAGGAACACGTGACATGATTGTGAAGTGCCAGACATGCTGATGACAGAGAGATCCCTCACAGATCTCCTGTAGAGGGAGCTGCTGATCTGTGTGTGTGTGTGTGAGTGTGAGTGTGAGAGTGTACTGGTTTATATATCCTGGTGGGGACTTAAACCTGAGTACACACAGACTCATGGGGACTCGTGACTCGTGTCATAAGCAATTGTACCCGTGGGGACCACAATTTAGGTCCCCACGGGTACAATTGCTTATAAATCATACAGAATTAAGTTTTTTGAAAATCTGAAATACAGAAAGTCTCCTGTGAGGGGTAGGTTTAGGGGTAGGGTTGGTGTAGGGCAATAGAATATATGGTCTGTACAGTATAAAAACCATTACACCTATGGAGAGTCCCCACAAGGATAGCAAACCAGGTGTGTGTGTGTGTGTGTGTTTTTCGAGTTGTTTGAGTCGTTCGATCATCACGTGACAGCCTCATAAGCTTAACCAATGCAGTCTGAGCTGTAAAGAGAATTGATTAGTTCACCTTTCGAGTCGTTTGTTCTTTTGTCATGTGACGTGACCGCATCGGATAGAGAAATTAGTTAATAATTTACAACCTTCCTTACAAACGGGTGCATAGTTATTCTTTTTATTTACGTGATGCGTTTCTGGTCTCAAATTGTAGCTTTTTATTTCTTACAGTTTATAAATCACTCAATGGCCTAGGACATAAATACTAAGGCTGGGTTTTGACACAAATTTCACGATTCGATTACCGATTCGATTCAATATCGATTATTTTGGATGTATATCAGGTACAGTACATACCAAATTTTCTCAAGGAAAAAAAATCTCTCAACTAATGCTGTAAAATATATATAAGAGTCAGTTGGTACTACATTACTATAATATTGAAGGTTAAAATTGACTGATTTGTTAATTACACTTGGAAGTTTTTAAAAGAATAATTACAATTACATAATATTATTTCTACTTCAATTCGTTTTTTTTAATATAAACACAATGGTGGCTGTCATAAAAACTTGATGGATTTATTCAAACATAAATTAAACATTGAAGAACAGTAAAATTTATCATGAATGTTATTTGGTGCATATATTTAGCAAAATGCCCCTCTCTACAGTTTAGTTTTCTAGCTGACTAATGAGTTTATGATCACCGAATATGTTTTTCTGAGGTAAATGTGACGTTACGTGACATTGTTTACAAGCCGTTATATTGAGGTCTTTGCGCTGCTGAAACACTGATTGAGCGATTACATGAGACAGGGTACGGATTGTAAAGTTGTACTCTTTCTTTTAACTTGCCTTCGGATGTTTAGTCATGTTTATTTTGTGCTATAACTAGTAATAAAGCGGAGGAGATGATCAGTTCACTGAGGTGCTACAGCGATCTGTCACTTCACATTAAACAGCACCAAAACAGCATTTATTGTTTGAATACTGCAATACAATGGACAGAATTTGAAATCTGAGACTGTTTCATATTAAAAGTACCAAAGCACAATGCTTATTGCGATATATTGGATGGGAAGTGCCCTTCAATATTCCGTCCATTAACTGAAAACAGGCTATACTAATCAATTCTTGGGATTTAAGAATCAATATCGTTCCGTAAAAATGAGAATCGATTAATATAGAGAGAGAGAGATTTTTTTACCCAGCCCTACTAAATACATTGCAGATATGCTCACTGAATATAAACCTAACGGAGCACTCAGATCATTAGGATCGAGTCAGTTAGAAATACCAAGGGTTCACACAAAACAAGGGGAGTCCGCTTTTAGCTATTGTGTCGGAACCAGCTTCCAGAAGAGATCAGATGTGCTAAAACATTAGCCACGTTTAAATCCAGACTCTTGGACCTGAAGACTCGAAACAGACTTCTAGCACAGAACCTATAGGATGTTGCACATGTCAGTCCCCGAGTCACATTAAAGATTGGTTCATGGTGTTGATGTTTTGGTGTGTGTAGAGCAGTAAGATGGGTGTGGAGGCCGTGGTGGCTCTGCTGGAGGCGACTCCGGAGACGTCTGCGTGTGTGATCAGTCTGTCTGGGAATCAGGCCATGCGTCTGCCGCTCATGGAGTGCGTGAACATGGTGAGTCACTCGCCAAACACCCCTGACCTTTGACCTCTGGACAGCGTCTGGCGCAGAGAATCCAAATGTAACTTTGTGCTTCTGTGGTTTTGTTTTTGTAGACGAAAGAGGTTCAGAAAGCCATGAACGAGAAGAGGTTTGAAGAAGCCATTCAGCTGCGTGGAAAGTGAGTTTCGTTCATTTGTGTGTTCTTCTGTTAATGACTCTGAGAGATGGTTCACTGATTGTTACTTCGTTGCAGGAGTTTTGAGAACAACTGGAACACGTACAAGCTTTTAGCTCATCAGAAACCAGCTCTGTCTAAGGTAACAAACTCCATGACTTTGAGTTTTCAAACACCATATACTTTCTTTCTTTTTGCTTGTTTTTTTAAAAAGTCAACATTCAAAATCAACAAAAAATCATAATTGACGCCATTTACTTTCATAATAAATGCCATTGATCTTATTGTGCACCTTATTCTAAAGAATTTAGTGACAAAATCAAATACTAAATCAAATTTAAATACTAAATCAAAACTTTATTTGTCTCTGAAAACAAATAATCTAATTTATATTTATTTCATTTATATTTTTTTGATGTAAATATATTTATATACACTAGCGGTCAAAAGTTTGGGGTCAGTAAGGCTTGTAATGTGTTTAAAGAAGTGTCTTCTGTTCATCAAGGCAGCATTTATTTGATCAAAAATACAGAAAAAAACAGTAATGTTATTACAATATAAAATAATAGTTTCTATTTTAATATCCTTTAAAATATAATTTATTTCTGTGATGCGCAGCTGAATTTCCATCATCATTACTCCAGTATAAAGTGTCACATGATCTTCAGAAATCAGTATAATATGCTGCTTTATTATTAGAATTATCAACAGTTGTGCTGCCAAATATAATTTTTTTGGGAAACTGATACTTTTTCAGGATTCTTTGATGAATAAAAAGTTAAAAAGAACAGCATTTATTCAAAATATAAATCTTTTCTAATAAAAGTTTTAATTTCTTTCAAAAAAAGAAAGAATAAAAATGTACCGACCACAAACGTTTGAACGGTAGTGTATATTGTTAGAAAATATTTCTATTTTAAATAAACGCTCTTCTTTTTTACTTTTATTCATCAAATAATCCTGAAAAAAGTATCACAGCTTCCAAAAACAATACAGTTTCCAGCTCTGATAATAAATCATAATATTATACTGATTTCTGAAGATCATGTGACACTGAAGACTGGAGGAATGATGCTGAAAATACAGCTGCGCATCACAGAAATACATTACAGTTTAATGTATATTAAAATATAAAAACTTTATTTTACATCATAATATTTCACAATATTATGTTTTTTCCTGTATTTTTTATCAAATAAATGCAGCCTTGATGAGCAGAAGAAACTCCAGTAAAAACATTACAAATAGTTCTGATCCCAAACTTTTGACCGGTTGTGTATGTGTATGTGTATGTGTATGTGTATATGTATATGTATATGTATATGTATATGTATATGTATATATATACACACACTTTTTATTTATTTATTAAATAATTACATATAATATTATAATTTAAGTAATTTACATTTATTACATGTCTTTGTATTTATTTAAACTGTGAATTCATCTGAAATATATTATGTTTTTATAGATATATATAGTTTTTAATTTTACATTAAAAATATAGTTTTTTAATTTGCCTGTAATCAGCTGTTTAACGTGTTTGTGTAGAGTAATCACTCTATGGCGATCCTGAACGTCGGCGCTCCGGCCGCGGGGATGAACTCCGCTGTGAGGTCTGCGGTTCGAGTGGGACTCGCTCACGGTCACCGGGTTTACACTGTCCATGACGGCTTCGAGGGTCTGGCCAAAGACGCGGTGAGGACCGCTGACATGAGAGTGTGTGTGTGTGTGAGAGTGTGTGTGTGAGAGTGTGAGA